AATATACTTCCCACATTTCGCACCATGAGGAAGCAAACATAAGAAATAGCACCGAGTTCCCGGCGTACCTTTAATGGGGCAGGGGTGCGAAGAATCTCCGGGAGGAAAACCGGCGACGAGGTTCGCCACCCGTCACGTTCTGTCTCCCGGAAGGGCGAAAAGTGGATTGCAGAGGCCCGTCTGGCTACGTTGAATGTATGTGGGGCAATTAATGATAAAATTGATGAAGTATGCGATATGATGTTTGATAGAGGAATAGATGTGTTATATGTAAATGAGACGAAACGGAAGGGGAAGGATGTCTTGAGGGAAAGAAAGGGGGTCTGGTGTAGACGAGATTGGGTGGGCGTGCCAGGGAGTAGGTATCATACTTTCAGAAAGAATGGGCCTATGTGTGAAAGAGTATGAATGGGTAAGCCCAAGACTGCTATGGATACGAATGAAAGTGGGCTTAAAGAAGTTGTTTGTGCTAGAGTCTACGCCCCAGACATGTCTAAGCCCACTTATATCCGAGAGCAGTTTTGTGAAATGGTAAGGATGGTGTTAATGAAATGTAGGGGAAATGAAAATATTATTATGCTGGGAGATTTTAATGGAAGGGTTGGGGTGAGGAGGCTTGGTTATGAAAGGATATTGGGAACGTTTGGTGATGAAAGTATAAACGAGAATGGTTAAAGCCTCCTCACCGTATGTATGGAAAATAATATTTTTGTGACGAACACTTGCTTTCGCCACAAGAGGATTCACACGTATAATTGGGAAAGAGGTGATGATAGAAGCATGATAGATTTCGTAATTGTGGATGAAAGAATGAGGGGCAAAGTGGTAGATACAAGGGTTTACCGGGGGTCTAACGTAGGAACGGATCATTATTTGGTTTTATGCCGAATTAATGGTCTATTCAGGCGTTGGCGCCATCGGTCATCTGTGTCTACCACTGCGTTACAGCGTATTAGAACTGAAAGGTTACAAGAGGAAGGTGAGGAAAACAAGTTTATATGTAGACTGAAAGAAAATATAAGTGGTTTGGATGAATTATGTATGAAGGAGTTAGACTTGGAGAATGTATGGCAAAATGTAAAGAAAGGTTTAGTGGATGCAGCTACCGAAGTATGTGGTGTTAGTAAGAGAAAGAATGAAAGGAAAAATAATACGTTATGGTGGGATGATGAGATAAGTATGGAAGTTGAAGCAAAGAAGAGAGCATGGCTAGATTTACTAGCAACGAAGGCTGGTAATTCTGGCGGTACGAATGATGATATTGAAAGAAAAAAGGCAGTCTTTAGACATCTAAATGAGAGAGTAGGAGAAGAAGTTGAAAGGAAAAAGCAAGAAAGAACGGATAAGAATGATAGAAGAATATCGGATAACTTCCAAGCAAATATTAAAATGTTCTGGAAACTCGTAAGAACTGCCAGGGGACATTCATAACAGCCTATAATGAATGCTATAAGAGATGAGAATGGCTATATTCTAAATGATGAAGTTTTGAGTTTAAAGAGATGGAAGGAATATTTTGAAAGCCTTTTTATGAGTGAGGAGACAACGTATAAATTAAATGAAGTAGAAACTCCGAAATAAGAGGAAAGAGGTAGCGAGATAAGTATAGATGCAATAATGAAAGCAATGAAAAGCATGAAAGCAGGTAAGGCTGCCAGATATGATAGAGATTCACTCGAAATACTAAGGGCTGTAGAGGAAGTGGTGGCAGGCCTGCTGCACACCTTGTTTAATTTATGCTGGGAACTGAAACGGGTACAGGGAGACTGGTGGAAATCCGTGATAGTCCCAGTATATAAAGGAAAAGGGTCAAATTCAAATTCAAATTCATTTTATTCATTTGCGATATATGGGTTACAATAGGTCTTAATAATTTAACAAAATACAGCCATATTCTACCTTTCGGTATGCAAACTACTTAAATATTAGATTTTATTTATAATTAAAATTAAATGGAAAATGCCGATAATTACATTAACATAATATAACCCTATTTGTATATTTGCGCTACTAACATAATAATAATTCACAAAATAATGATAAAATACATGTAATAATTAAAATTGTAATGTCCAAGTAATAATGTCAAAACGAGTAGGTATAAATTGTCTCAAAATTAATAACATAGATAACGTTTCGTTCAATAAATTTGATAGTTAAAATTTAAAAATTGTCATATAGATAATCGTCAATATTATAATACGCTTTTATGGTTAAAAATGTGTTTAGTTGTTTCTTAAAAATGTGAAAGCTCTTAGAATCTCTTATATATTTAGGTAAATGGTTATACAGTCGAGGACCCATACAGAATACGCTTTTTTGAAACAAAACAGTCTTACTATTGGGATGGCTCAATTTATCTTTATGACGCTGGACATTTAGTTTTTTGTAAAAACTTAAGTTTTGACGTACAAATAAGACTACCTCATATATATATAGACATGGCATTGTTAATAATTTTAAATTAATGAAGTATGGCTTACAACTCTCACTTTGGTTAATTTTACAAATGGCTCGTAAGCATCTCTTTTGAGCTTTAAATACTGTTTCTTTGTCCGTACAATTACCCCAGAACATAATACCATATCTAAGTGTAGACATAACATAAGCATGATATGATGCCATTACGGCGGATGTGTCCACAACTTTTCCAAGCATATATAACGCATACGAAAAACGATTTAATTTCATACACATACTGCTCACATGAGACTGCCAGTTCAAATTGCAATCTACATTTATACCCAAAAATTTTATATTATCTATGGTACTGATTTTTTGTCCTAGATAATTGATATTTAAATTATTTATTTTATTACGTTTTTGATAGAATGTCATAAGTTTTGTTTTTTTCTAAATTTATATTTAAATTATTTATGTTTAGCCAATTCATGATTTTCTCTAAAGCAAAGTGTATGTTACTTTCTAAATCTATTTTGTTTCTGCTAGTGAAAATAACTGTGCTATCGTCAGCAAATAATACCATTTTGTGATTAATGACGTTGGGAAGGTCGTTGATATAAATAAGAAACAACAATGGTCCTAAAACACTTCCTTGCGGTACTCCAGTTTGTACGACTCTGTATTCAGAAACATAGGTCATTTCTTTTCTTGATTTTAGACAAATTTTTGTAATGTGTGTACTTTGTTTTCTGTTAACTAAATATGATGTTAGTAGATCTAGTGCATTACCTCGAATGCCGTAGGCTTCAAGCTTTTTGAGTAATATTTTATGATCAACATAATCAAATGCTTTAGTAAGATCCATGTAAAGTGCACATACAGGTATTTTATTGTTTAGGCTAGACATAACGGTATTAAAAAAATTGTATAGAGTCATATTTATAGTCTTATTTTTTCTAAATCCTATTTGTTCTTCTCTAAGAATATTGTACGTTTCAAGGTAGTTATATAAAGAGTTATAAATTATTTTCTCAAATACTTTTGAGAGCACAGGTATAAGCGCAATGGGCCTATAGTTAGACATATTCTCCCGATCATTTTTTTTGAACAGTGGTTTGACAATTGTAGACTTTAGTCTTTCAGGAAATATACCATTACAAATACATAAATTGAAAATATAACTAAGTACCGGAGCAATTGCACCGGATACGTATTTTAGAACTCTTGTACAAATTTCATCACAACCGGTACTGTTTGTGTTTTTAAGAGATTTTATAGCTTTATCTATATCAAATGATGTTGTGGGTGGTATAAAAATTGAATTGGGATTGTTAAAAGTTAACTTATATGGTTTATCACTATTTGGGCGGTCTTTATTAATTTTGTTGGTATAGAAATTATTAAATGCCCTAGCTATAACTAGAGGATCCTCAATTATATCACCATCAACAATAATTTTACTAATTGCTTCTTCATTTGTGCCATTTTTGTATTTATTTATCACTTGCCAGGTAGCTTTAGATTTATTTTGTGCTGTGTTAATATAGTAATTATTTTGGGACTTTTGGGTAAGTTTGATAATTTTGTTTAGACGTTGGGAATACTCTTTTAATATAGTTTTATTTTCTACGCTGCGTTTTTTTCTGTATTGCCATAATAACTGTCGTTTACGCTTAGTACATTTTTTTATCCCATTAGATAACCATTTTGTTTGTTTACGTGAATAGACTTTAATTTTAATGTCAGGAAAGCATAGGCGATAGAGGAGGGTAAACAAGTCATGAAATTGGTCAAAAGCAAGATTAGGATTTTTTTCCTTATAAACCTCGTTGAAAGTGAGAGAGCTCAAGTAATTGTTAAATTTGTGAAGATTTTCTACATTGTAATCGCGTCTGCTTATATGCCAGTAATTAAGATAGTAGCTTTGCTTGACTGGGCATATTAACAGTTGTGCCGTATGGTCTGACAAAGCTAAGTCATAAGTATTGCTCTTACACCCTTGAATATTGTGAAAAATATTGTCGATACATGTATCACTAATTAGTCGTGTAGGTACTTTTATAGCTGTTTTTAGATTGTAGCTTGTTAATAGTTGTATAAAATTTTTAGAAATTTTGGTTGCATCTATTATATTTATATTAAAATCTCCACAAATTATAATTTTATTTTTATTATTATTACAGTATTTTTTTAATATTAAGTCGAAATTATACAAAAAATTATTCAAATCTTCATTTCTATTTTTTGGAGGTCTATAGGTACATATTATTTTAAGTTTATGCTCCATAAGTTCAACTGCACAACATTCAATTATGTTCGTTTTACTAAGTTGTGCTATTTCAGGAAGAGGTTTATATTTATGACATTTCTTAACTAGTATGCAGGAGCCTCCATGACGATTTTCTCGAACATGGTACGATGCAAGAGTATAATTATCTAATTTGAATAAATTCGTATCATTGTAAGTCATATTATGTTCAGTTATGCATAGAACATCAGCCGAGTACCCATCTAATTCGAGGTTATTTAAATTAACAGTTAGGAGATCAGATTTAGCAATTAATCCATTAATATTTTGATGTAATATATATAGTTTTTTATATACGAAAAAGATTTTTACCAGAATGTGTCATATTTTCATGCCTGGGAGTGATTTCCTCTATGATATTGTCTTTCAATATATCGTCACTTTGTGTACATGTGTCTACCATTTCAATATTGTCAGTTTGTGTACTAGTAGTCTGAAGTGGAGTAAATTTTGAGGAAATTACTATATTTTGGTAAAGCTCAAATTTTAATTTGTAGTCGAGGCGTAGAATTTCACGTAGCAGAAAACGACATGGTATATATGGAGTAAAAGTATATTGATGAAAGAAAGGCTTCGAACCATTTGTATTTATAAACGAAACATTAGTAAAGCTTGTACATATAAATCTTAATACATAGTTAAGTTTGCCGATGTTTAAATTTCTATTATATGGTATTTCTGTAAATATTACATTAGTATTTGTTACACTATAAAGCCAGCTCCTGATACAAAATTCAAATTCATATGGATTATTCTCATTCACGCCGCCAAGAACAACAACATAATCATTTTTTGTAAGTTTACATATTTCGTTCTTTTCTGTTTGTAAGACTTCCTGTATTTTAGCTCCTGGTTTCCAATAACAAGTTACAAGAAAATTATCGCCAATTAATTTTTGAAGAGTTTTGCAAATATTTCGCCCTTGTTGGTCAGCAATAACAATTATTTTCCTTCGCATCTTAAATGTAGCTAATTTGTAATTGTCATTTTTTTCTCTTATATAATATGGCAAAGTGTTTCCTAGTTTAGTTTTTGGAGTATTAAGAGATGTATTAGTATTTGTGTCTGTTGCAATTACTTCCGTGTGTTCTTTGTGAATATCTTCTTTCTCTAGATGAATGTGACATGATGTGTTAGGCAGATGATTTGAGCTATCTGTTTTTTCTATGTTATTGACTAATTCTTGTTCTTTGTCTTTGATTTCGTTAATACTGCATTCTGACATTTCTATTCTGTTTATAGGTGTACACAGTAGATTTTGTTCTGGTATCTGCAAAGTTTGTCGTCTCTTGTTCACTGATGCAGGTGTCGTATTACATGAGGAATATGTAGTAATTTTTTTAAATGTTTTAATTATTTTTTGGTATTTTTCAATTTCTAACTTTAAACTAGTATTTTCACTATTGAGATTATCTATTTCTTGATGAGCAATTAATAAGTCACTCGACAGTTTATTTATTTTTTCATTTAAATCAATATTATTTTGACTTTCATATAGAGATGCATTCGGTAAGCTTGCCACGGTTGCGTCAAACAGTGTAGAAGTGGAATTGAGATCTGACATATCTTGTAACGAACTAGAGCGTTTTGGTTTTCTGTACGTTATATTTCCAAATTCCATTTTTTAATTAGGACTGCTTATTAAATAATTTTTTACATATAATCTTAAAATACGCCCTTCGTTATATAAGCGATAACAAGAAATAAAAGTATATACGAATATAAAATAAAAGATGTTTTTAAACTCGTGGGTTGGACTCGATCCCACACCTAATTGTATTGTAAGAAGTGAATAACACACTAAGTTAAGCTGATTAGACCAATCTTCTATTAAGTCATGGATTGAAATTATCAATATTATTACAAATTTTCATATTTTTCAATAGTGGGTAGCCGTTGAAATTGTCAATTATAATTATTATACTAATATTTCTTCCACAAATCTTATGAATACATTTTATAGCTACAGTCGGAATAAACACATTATATCGTACATATCACAAATATACTGTTCAATATATAACTTTTTGTAGGCAATAATGCAATTTATACAGCATAAATGTTTAATGATTGAGGAGGATACACTTCATTCTTCAACATTCGCCAATATTTCTATTATTCATTAAGTGGAAATATTTGGAATTATATATATTATATAACAACACTTCTTTGATAAAGACAATTTTGGTTTACTTTATCACTTCTTTTGTTATTAAAACACTACAACGTTAGTTCATAAGATTTAGGTTATTAAATGTTTAATATGTTAGAAATGATACACTCTCACGTAAACACAACTCGTATATTCACTCGGATTTTAAATTCCGATCTTGGGTATTTCCTAGTATAGTGGTGTTGGTAGTGTCAAGTGTTTAAGAATTGTAATAATTTTTTAAAATTAATATATTAAAGTTCGTTTCAGTTTATTAATTAATAAATAAAATGACGCACATTTTGAGAGATTTCGATTTCAGCTTGGGCTAACCGACAGTCGATGACGACAGTATCTCAGGACGCCTAAGCAAATATGTTGATTTAATGTCACAGTACCCTACACAAGATTCACTGAATCAATGTTTTCACCCCTTTTTATTCCAAATTTTATTGTTTAAATTACACTACACAAAAGCACTCAGTCTGCTGAACGATTTAGTATATATTTCTAATAAAAAAGGTAACTTTTTTTCACCACCTTGGAATAAAAATCTAAGAGCGCCAAGTAACACGTCTTTCTCATCAAACATCAAAACTAAAATTTTTCCAGCAGCAGGTTAATTGGTCGCAGCAGGAGTGTAAAAACTACCGTGGTATCAGCCTTCTTAGCATTGTGGGAAAACTGTATGCTAAGGTACTAATTGAAAGGGTCATGAAAGAAACTGATGAGAAATTTGGGATGTGAAAGCGGGATTTAGAAAGGGAATGGGATGTACAGATCAAGTATTTTCCATGCGCATGATCGCGGAAAAGTTTTTGGCCAAAAACCAACAGGTTTTTTTTGTGAGTTCATGGACTTGGAAAAGGCCTATGACAGAGTAGATAAGGATGTGCTATGGCAAACACTGAATTCATTTGGGTTGAACGCTGGCTTGATACAGGCATTGGAGTCGCTTTATAGGGACGCTAGTGCTTGTGTTAGGATCAACGGGGTCTACTCGGACTGGTTTGGCATCCATAAAGGTGTCAGACAGGGCTGTGTGGCTTTCCCGTGGCTGTTCAACCTATTAATGGACAGTTGTCTGCAAAACTTGAAAGTTGAAGAATGCGGATTAAGAATGGGTGAGTTAACCGTCAAATGCCTTTTGTACGCCGATGACCAAGTTATTCTTGCTTCGTCGGCGGCCGAGCTGCAAATGATGGTAACATTAATGAAAAGATCATTAAAAAAAAGGGGAATGAAAGTGAACGCAAGTAAGACGAAAGTTATGGTTTTTGAAAGAGAAGAAAGTAAGACGATATGTAAAATAAGAATAGAAGGGGAGTTGATCGAGCAAGTAGATGAATTTGTATATCTGGGTTGCGTATTTAGCAGGGAAGGAAGATGTGATAAGGATATAGAACGACGAGTGAATGCAGGAAATAGAATAAATGGGGCCCTACACTCTATTGTGAAGAGTCAAAATGTGTCGAAAAAGGCACGTATGGCAATTGACAATGCTGTGTTGGTCCCTACTTTAACGTATGGTAGTGAAAGTTGGGTGTGGCAGAAGAAGCACGAGAGTAGAATGAACGCAGTAGAAATGCGGTCGTTAAGGAGTATGTTAGGGCTGAATCTGAATGACAGATTAAGAAACTGTGTAATAAGAGAAGAGTGTGGTTTGCAAGATGATGTTGTGACCAGGATTAAGAAAGGAATGCTTCGGTGGTTTGGTCATGTAGAAAGAATGAATGAGGAAAGAGTGACAAAGAAAATTTGTGTTGCAGAAATAAATGGCAGAGTCGGAAAGGGACGTCCTAGGCGAAAATGTATCGACCATATTGGCGATTTATTGAAAACGGGCCAAATTAGGAGTACTCTTAACCGACGAGCATGTATGCGTGTATGGATGTGAAGGAGGCGAGAGAGGTGTGTCAGGATCATGCCAAATGGAAGTCTGTAGTCTCTGCCTACCCCTCTGTGTGACAGGCGTGAGTTTTTATATATATGTGTGTATGTTTAATATTTTATTTAATAATTACTTAGTTGAAATCCAAAATATATTACAAAAATTATAATAATAACTTAACTAAAATAATAATTAAAATTATAATATGTACGATTAAAACTAATTATATACAATATAAAAGAAGAAACTATAATATAGAAAATCTAAAACTAAAAATTTTAATAGTCAAAAAGACCTGCTCCCCGTGGTGTAGTGCCAAGAACGCTGACTGCGTTTCCTCGCTGAATAGCTATACTTAGCCTTTGAGCGAGGAAAAAACCAGCCCTCTTATCACCAGCAGCGACTACTAGTCTTGGATACAGTTCCTTTAGAAATTTCACTGCACGCGGACCCCACGGACCGACAGTCTCTACAGCAAATGGCACAAATATGTAGTCATTTCTCAAAGACTCATATTTGCGCCATTTACTAAATTCGGCTGCCTCTGATGCCACCCCGGCTCTAAAAGAGGTACCCTTGAGATGAGAGGCCGCCAAAGTGTCAACGCAAGTAGTATCCCACACTAGGGCTTTACCTCTCTCCCAAGGAGCCAAAGTCATACCGTCGGGTCTCCTGCCATCATCTCTTAATATCCCGCAAGGCTCTAAAACCGAGGGGACATTTATGGAGACAAGAGCCCTTCGGAAAAGAACCATGACGGGAAAACCTACCTGCACTTTTCTTGCATAAAAGTCCGTGGAGCCCAAACTGATCGACGCTGCTACCACAGGGGCACTGATAACAATTTGCATTTCATTGCAAGCAAATTGACAAATTGCCACTACTAGCCGGATTTCTACAGCGATGGGCAAGCTTTCCCCATCAAGCAATGTGCCAAGATTACTTGATGGTAGAGCATGTAACCAGTGGCTAGATTCCTTAGTCGAAACAGCTAGAAGGCGAGTCTGATCTTGTTGAAAATGGAAATTTTGATATAAATTTTTCTGGACACTCCGTACCAACGGAATATACCACTGTTTTTGTTGGTTAACTTCCAGTGGGACATTTTCGCCGGGACAGAACGTTAGCCATGTTTGCCTTGCCTTCGCATCAAAAGCACAGGTCTACTTTATTATTTAAAATTGTGTTACATAGATCATTGACACTATGCACGAAAGCAAGGAAAGCAGGCAATGCGACGCTAGAAATATTTTTTACACCAATACCACCAAATTTGATAAGTAAAGTGGCTTGATTCCAGGCTATTGTATTTAATCTCAAATTTAGAATTTTTCTAAAGCAATTTTAAGATTACTATGAATATCTTTTAAAATATCTAACATTTCCAGACTGGACTTGAGCGTAACAAGTATGTAAATTTAGGTACAAGGAGACAATATTTTAAAATGGTAAGGGCAATATGGGGGTTTAGAATATATAATTTATCAACGTGACTTAAAAATTGATCAAATTTTGTTTTTAAAACAGGTTTAATACTATCGAAAAACAACGGAGCACCGAGCAGGTAAAGCGATTCCGAATTAACAGTTTTTATCCCTGGAGAAACCTGATTGAAATTTTGAATTAAGGTATATCTGTTAGAATTAGATAAATTATTAGAAATAAATATTTCACATTTATTGGTATTTGGTTCAAGACCAATATTTTTAAAATTTTGAAAAATATGAGTAAGATCATTAAGGACGTCATCTGCTTTGTACCAGTGTACCGTCGTCCAGATACCAAACATTCAGCTTGGATTTTAAATTTGAAATAATAGGTGGAATTCCCAAACTGAAAAGAGCTGGACCTAATGGATCACCCTGCTGAACACCGACAGCAGACTCAATAATATGGTTTTGATAAAACATGTTTGAATTTTGACTGTAATATTGCCAAACGTAATGATATATTTCGGGGATATTGTTAGCCACTTTTTTCAGCAGAGTTATCCTATCAATAGAGTTAAAAGCAATTCTAAGATCAACCTTCAGAAGAAAATCTGCATTGAAATTAGTTAAGAAAGTACGCACCGAATGTACCGCCGCCTCACAGCCACCTTTGGTGCCAAAGCCTAGTTGAGTAGGTTGAAATTTTGTCTTAAGGTTTGAGATTATGTGCCTGCAAGCTAATTTTGAAGTTAAGCGTCGAAATGTAGAACCAACAGCAATAGGACAGATACCGTTATCCTTTTTTTTTGAAGGCACACAATCCTGCCCTATATACTAGAATATTTCCACTGTTCCTGTCATATTAAAATCTTTTTAATTAAAAACTCCTTGGTTTTAAAAATCGAATACCATCTATTTATTTAAAAAAAGTTTCTCGTTCTTGTCACAAGGTTTTGTCAAACTTGTTTAGTCGTTGAGAAAATGGAATTTACTCGTGAAAATTCAAGAGCGATGATTTATTATGACTTTCGAAGTGGTTTAACACAAAAACAGTGTGTTGACCGGATGATTTCTGTATTTAGTGATGAAGCACCATCCAAAACCACAAATTATCGCTGGTTTGCTGAATTTCAACGTGAAAGTGTCAA